TCATTTATTTTATGAATATAATTTATTGTCAAATTGGCTTATGTACAACACCCAGTGCTCATCCCAACAAGTGCCCTCCTCCATGCCCATCACCCATTTTCCCCTCACCCCCACTCCCATCCACCCTCAGCTTGTTCTCTGTATTTAAGAGTCTCTGTTTGCACCTTTCTAACCAGGTTGTTTTCAGCCGTATGCCTTCCGTGGGTGTTGGCACGGTATTTAATCTGACATTTAAACAGTACTGTCCTAGAGTGTGGGGGGGAAACTTGCAGCCTGCAGAAAGGGAGCGACCCAAATCCTGTGATTAAGCAAAAGAAAGAAGGACATGATCTTCCTTCTGAAAGAGTTTTGTTTATGAAGCTCCTCGTGGCTTTTTTACTTTTTCCATGAAAAACTCTTTGTCCTTTTGTCTTCTGCCATTGGCCACGGTTGTGGACAGGGCGTTGATGTGAATACAGTTTCCAAATTGGAAATTAATGAGGTGTTTCATCCAAAGAAACCTTTCTCCGGTCCGGTAGGCGCGCTGCCCTGCGCACCCCACCCCCACCCCCACGTGGGTCTTTGCCTTCCTGCCGCCCGTGACCACACAGCAGCAGTGGGCACCCTGGCTTCTCAGCTCCCTCCCCAGTGCTGTCCTGGCCGAAGAATTTTTAATCTGTGTATCAGGTATGCTTCCCACAGTCACTGGACTGTGTCCAAGCAGGATAGGTTGGGCCTGCCTGAGGCCACTGTCACCGGGCCACAAAGTTCTTAATGGCTCTTCAGAGCTGGCCCTCCAGCCCTTTGTGTATTCAGAAAGGAGGCTGGTGCACGTTTCCTAGGATACAGGGCATGAAGGGGTGGGATGCTCAAGTAAGGTGAGAGCACTCCAGGAAACTTCTCGTCAGCGCCGCGGTCTTAGCCATGATGGGGTTCGAGTGTGCCTCTCATTGGCTGATAAGGAACAGGCTAAGGAGCAGAGGTGCCCATCAGGGGAAAGGGGGCTCAAACTAACTGAGATGGTGCAGCTAGTGTGTTGTTCTCGAGCTCTGGTAAGGAGTGGTGGACTTGTGATTCTGCCGTGCTACAGATCATAAGTTTTAAGGATGAAAAGGATGAAAAGTGGCCTCTAGTCAGAGCTCAGCACTTTAATCAGATGGTTCCGAAGGAGAAGCAAAGATCCGTTTAGAGTAAGGGTGTATGGGCGTGGGGTTGGCATGGTGTCTAGGAACCTTGTAGAACTTACTGCAAAGTTTTGTACATAAATATTTCAAAGGAGAAGTCCTGGAACTTTCATTAGGTTTTTAAAAGCACTTCTTGACCCACTAGTCTACATGGAAACAGACAACCAGTCAAGGTGATTTGAATCCCCCTGACCTGTGTGTGGTGGTCACCCCTACAAGCACGCTGTGGTTTCCTGTGTCCTCTAGGGAAAAGGGACCCAGACCCCAGGAGGCCAGATGTCCTACGACTGGAATGTCTGAGGGAATCTGTGAAACTCCCTGTGGGGTGTGTGAAGGAGAGGTGTGGAAGCGAAGGGAAGGGAAAGTTCCCCCAGGCGTGCTGAAGACAGACCGTCAAGCAAACTGTTGACACATAGAGGAGGAAGACTGACTGGGTTTGGAGTGAAATGGAGAAAAGGAAACAAGCTGAATCTCCAGGGGAAATCTTTGTGACCACAAGAATGAATAGGCCATGGCCCTGTCATTCTAGAGGAGGTTGGAGCAACTCCATTAGTGGGGAATTTTCAGGAAATGTGGATATAATAGAAGGACAAGCATGGGCTAACCTTGAAAGGGGCTCTTCTGGAGACCTGCACGCACTCCTTCCCCACCGGGACTGTGGGACAATACCAAGAACTGGCTCTTTCATTTCTTTTGCATTCGGCACACTCAGACACCTCCTGAGAGCCAAATTCAGGACCTACTTGCTGCGGCAGAAAAGTCATGAGCACAGTATTTGAATCACTTATATTTTTGGATAGGAGTGGTTCTCAGAACAATCCAGAAAGTATAGTTTGAGGATTTTTTTTTTAAAGAAAATTAAAGTCTAATATTATAGGTCCAAGATTCTATAATAAGGCTCTTTGCACTGAATCACGGAAAAATGAGAGTAGTTGTAGTCATTCTCTTCCTGTGCTTCTTGTCTGCCATTTTAAAAGTATTGGTTCTTGTTCATAGCAACACTCTCCACAATAGCCAAAACATGGAAAGAGCCTAAGTGTCCATCAACTGACGAATGGATCAAGAAGATGTGGTTTATCTATAGGATGGAATACTACATGGCAATGAGAAACAATGAAATCTGGCCATGTGTAGCCACATGGATGGACCTTGAGGGTGTTATGCTGAGCGAAATAAGTCAGGCAGAGAAGGACAAATATCATATGTTTGCACGTATAGGAGGATTAGGAGGAACTTGACGGAGGACCGTGGGGGAGAAGAAGGGCGGAAATGGTGGGGGAAAGGGAGAGAGGCAAACCATGAGAGACTCTTGAATGCTGACAAAAACTGAGTACTGATGGATGTGGGGGGGAGGGGGGGATGGGCACGGAGGAGGACACTCGTGGGGATGAGCACTGGGTGTTATGTGGAAACTAATTTGACAATAAACTATTTGTAAAAAATAAATAAATAAAAGTATTGGTTCTTCCTTCAGGGGAAGGCTAGGGTGTCAGAGGGGTCTCCCTCGCCTTCCAGGGTACTGGCTGTGTTCCTTAAACGCCTTTTGGTGTGTACAGCTCCTATGCGCTGGGCTCTCCCCTTTCCCCCTGGGAATACCTGTGGATCCTTCAGATGGCCTTTTTTCAGGAAGCACCTCTCTGAGGTTGTGAACAGAATGGTTTGGCTGATGAAAAGGAAGGCAGAGGGGCTGAGAGCTTCCGCTACTGATTGGAGCTCCCACTCCCCAAGCCCCCTCTGCCTCTCAGTACTTCTGGCCTTCCCTTGCTCATGAATTCCTTCCCCACAGTTATTTGTCTCAGAGCTTTTCTGCTTCCTCCATGCCCCTGAGCACCCCCCAGCCCTCCCTCATCCTTTGCCTTATACCCCATGGGTTGGGGCTGGCTGATGTCAATGCTCTCACTTCCCCACTTCTTCCCCCCAGAATTGCCTCTCTCGCCTCCCCTTTCCCTCCTGCTTCCTCTCCAGGCCACTCGTTCTCTTTCATCGACAAGTTGCCTCCACGTGGCCCCGGGATCCATTCATTCCTTTTGTACTGGTTTCTCCCCCTCACCCCAGAAACGCAGCCTGCCTCCTGGGAGCGGCCATCCACACTCGTTGCGTTGCCTCCACTACCAGCTGTGTTCCTATCCTTAACCCAAAGCTTCCCAAACTTCTTCACACAGGGGAGATGTTGCTGTTTGGCACAAGAGCCGTGCGTACCAGGCTGATGGGGAGTGGGCTCCGGCTGTCCCGAGGGTGGGAGGAGCCACTGTGGCCGCATCTCCCAAATCCATTCCTAGCACAAGGCCTGAAATCTTTGCAGTTTGACTCTGCCTCCCATCCCACCTCATACCTTCCTCTGCTTGTGCTCTTCCTAAAGATCACCAGTAAGCAAATGCTAAGGGCAAAGACTTTTTCTTTGTTTTCATCTTCCTTGACATGCAAGTGGCCTTTGACACTCACTCGTGGTTAAGAGCTGAGACTACGGCAGCGCTGCTATGGCTCAGTTCCTGGCTGTGCCTTTTCCAGCGTTTGACCTCAGACAGGCTACTTAATGTGTCTGTGCCTCAGTGTCATTCTGCAAATGAGGATAATAAAACCTACATCACGGGGTCGCCGTGTGAGTTAAATGGCTTCTCTGTGGGAAGGTTCTTATCTCACTGTAAATGCTATACAAGTGTCTGTTGTGGCTTTTGAGTGCCCCTTTCCCAAAGCCCCTTTCTTCTAACATTGGAACCTCCTATTTTCTTCCTGTGTCTTTGAGCTCTCTTGTTTTTTGTTTTCGTTCTCCACATTCTCTTTTTCTCCCCTAAACTGGAGAAGGTAGTAGAGAATGCAGCCTTGACTCTCACTTGCCCTTTCTTTCTTGGACCTTCCCACCAATGCCGCCAACTCCCCACCTGTAGACTAGTCACCTCCTCGGGTCTCAGACCCACACCCCGACAGCCTGCCATGTTGCCCACCGTCTGGGTCTCCTCCCTGTGCCTCAGACTCAGGAGTCCCAAAAGTAGTTTAACGTTTCTTTTATTTTTGTTTTAAAAGCAATAGATGGCACATCATAGAAAACACAGACAAATTTAAAGGATAAAATTTAAAGGATAAAATACAGTAATCCCCCCGCAGCGAGCACCGCCACTAAACTTGGGTGTGTCTTCAAGCCCAGTGGGTCTCAGCCCGGGGCCGAGTCTCCCCAGGGGGGTGCTTGGCTGTGTCTGGAGATACTTGTGGTTGTCAACTTTGGGTCGCAGGAGGGGCTACTGGCCTCTATCTGGCGGAGTCCAGGGATATCACCAGACACTCTGGTGCGCAGGACAGGCCCCCACAACAAAGAATCAGTCCACTCCGTGGTGCTGAGGTTGAGAACCCCATTCTGGACATTAATACTCCAAATAGAATAAGTTGAAATTACTTTTTCTTTCTACCTCCACTCTGCTTCTCCGCTTGTGCTCTCTTTCAGTGACCCCCCCACCTTCTCCTTCACCCCATACCTGATCCATTACAAGCCCACAGCTTCCCCATCTGTCACATCTTCAGCATCTCTTCTCCCCCATCCGGTTTTGGTGTTGATGACCGCTCACCCAAACTAAGGAAAGGGCACTCCAGCAGGCCCTCTGCCTTGAGTCTCCCCCGCTTGGCCTGGTGCCACCCATGTGCTTGCTGACTTTCTGTTGGCCTCCACTGCCTGTGAAGTCCATGCCTCAGAGTCCAAGCTCCCTGCGGGCAGCAGCTTCCATGCCATCCTGAGCACCAAGTCAGGGCCTGACCAATCTCTGTAGAATGTGTTTGGACAAATGGTTGCATGAAAGAAAAACCTGAAATAAATCTTCTTCATGATTCCCTTACAATCTGTCTTTGCAGATCCTTGGTGAATGGTTTGGTCGGACCATCATTCGCTCCTGCACCAAACTGAGCTACGAGCATGCACAGAGCATGATTGAAAGCCCGACTAAGAAAATTCCCGAGAAGGAGCTGCCCCCCATCTCCCCGGAGCACACCAGTGAGGAGGTACACCAGGCTGTGTTGCATCTCCACAGAATCGCAAAGGAGTTACGCAAACAGCGGTTTGTGGACGGCGCACTGCGTCTGGATCAAGTCAGTCACTTCTCTTTTCTTTTCTTTTTTTGGTTTTTTGGTTTATTGTTTTTTTGGTTTTTTGGTGCAACCAACAGATTTGATGTGTGCTCGAACCCAGTGTGCATGAGATTCAGCATGGCAGTCTTGGGACCTTCCTTTCTCTCTTCCCCAGTCACAGCACTAAACCATTGTTCTCCGAGGCAGGCAGGGACTACCTCTCTCCCACCCTCCAAACTCCACAGACACACGAGACCCACTAACATAAGCCAAGTCAAAAGGATCATGTCTGGGTGGGTGGCCCTGTGACCAGAACTCCCAGCTGGTCCTTCCTGATAAGCCTATACCCAATATTTGAGCCTTATCTCAATTTCTACCTCAAATCCCTCTGAATGGAGTTGAGAACAGGAAACATGGAAGTTTAGAAAGTAGTTGACCAGTATCTGATCATGAGGCTTAGAAAAAAAGATATTTCTTCTGATCCCTCGTCTTCCAAAAAGAGTTATACATTTATAATTCTGGATTAATATTTGAAGAAGCAGAGAGCTGAGGAGACTGTGGAATGTTGATCTCTGGAGAAAATGATGGCCCAGAATGGTACTAATGCTCTTTGAGTATCACAGCCATGCCGGTGGCCCTCTGGGACGTAGGCAGCTGTCACTCAAACTTGGTCACATTTCCAAGTCCATTTCTATGTGCAGCAACTCTTAAGACCTAGGCATTCTTTCCTCATTAGTTGTCAGTACATTAGAGAGGAGAGCTTGTGTTCCGTGTATCAATTTTTTTTCTCATTTGTATTTCTTACCCTAACCCCCAAGAACTGCTCTCCTTGCCTGGTCCCTGTGTGCTTGGGAAGTCTCTGGGTGTATGAAAAATGAGTTGAGTGGCAGGATTGGCCTATGGAGAGCACTGGCAAGAGCCCAGCCTCACGGAGACGTCTTTCCCTGAGTGCTCCATCTTCGAGAGATCTCAAAAGCCTTGGTTTCCAACTGAAGACATTTCATTCCACCCTTTGTGATAAATGTCACTAATGCTTCTCAGCGGGCGTTGCGAAGTCACTGCCCTGGGCCCAGGAATAAGTTAGCAGCATTTCAGGCAACTGGACAGTCTGGTTTGCCCATGCTGGATGGATCTTCTGGAGCTGTCATGCCCCCGGCCTGGGCTCAGGCACCCTGAGCAGACCTGTCTGCTCACAAATGCTGATGGGCAGACTGTAGCGAGAGTGGCCGCTGGCACAGACAGCCGAGCCGATAGAAGAGGGACCAAAGGCACAGGAGAAGATAGAATATCTCCTTTTCTTCAGTGAAATCCTTTGTGGGGGTGTGAACACACCCCAGTTCTCACTCACCAGTGGCTGCCTGGTTGTCAAATCCCAGGATGCTTTTCAATTCTTGCTTCCTAGGCTTCTGTTCTGCATTTGTCCCTTCGAAGCTCACCTCCCATTCTCTGCTTCTCTTTGTACATCTCCGCTAATGTCCTGGGTCCCTTTGCAGAAGCCTCTTCCTCTCCTGTCCCCTATAGGGTTCCCATTCCCTAGGATGGACCCCACCCTCTATTTCTCTCTATCCACACTCCCTTCCTGAATGAATGCTCTACTCTTAGGATTGTAACTGCTGACTGGTTGCTGGTGATGCCAAAATCCGTCTCTCTAGCCCCGCCCTCCTTCTCAAGATCTAGACAGGCCTCTCCACCTGCCTTCTTGAACTTTTCACCTGGGTGCCCCGTGGTCACATCTGCCAGCGCTCATCATTTCTTCTGCAGGACACCTTGATCAGCACCCATGGCATGCTGCGCAGCCTGGCTAATGCTCCCTCCTTCCTCTACACCCACCACGGCCATCATGTGTGTCAAGATCATTCCTATTTGCTCCCAAACCTGATTGTGCCAGGTGTGTGTGTTGTTGTAATTATGCAGTTTAGTTTAACTGAATCAAATAAGGTATGCTGGTCAAATAAGAGCATTAAAAAAAGCTTTTGTTTCTTTGAGATCTAAAATTGAAAAGATTCAGTGAAGATGAATCTTTAAAAACTCTGCTGTTGGGGTGTGACGACTCTAAAAGAATAGGGGGGAAAATCATAAAATTCAGGAAGAATTCTGTACTCAGATAGCTTTACAGATGTCTAAATTCTCCCTCTCTTTTAAAGAAACAAAAACTATACATTATAGACAATGAATTATGAGTGTAATTTATTCAGAAAAAAGTGTAGAAATCCAGTTAGCAACCGCTTTTAAAAAGCTTTTATTTTTAAAAATGAATGAGTGCACATTTATATAAATTAAGTTAAAACAAGGGGGTGCCTGGCTTAGAGTATGCATCTCTTGATCATAGAGTCATGAGTTCAAGCCCCCTATTGGGCATGGAGCCTACTTAAAAATATTTTTTTAATTTCTAAAAAAATTAAATTCAGTTAAAATAAATGTTTAGTTCAGATAGATATCGTTTGTAGGATTCCCCACTTTAGCCAGCTCCTAGAATAATTTAGCAACTACTGCTTCAAGCACATCAAATGAGATGTTACAACATTTTGGAGATCCTACCCTATCAGATTGTTTCGACGTTTGATTGGATTAAATACATGAAATACTCTATAACTATGAAAGATCACTGTTAGGTGATCTCAGCTCACATTGTGATCCTAGGGGTATGGTAGTCAAGGGAGAAGAATGATCACAGATTACTGATTGATCCTGACTGATCTCTTGGCATCCCTTAGAATCGGAATTTTATTGCTGAAAATCACCTTAGATATCTCCATCTCATTGGCCCTCGCAATGTATAACTTAGGAAGCTGATGCCCCTCCCAGAGGTTCGATGCAAGTTGCAAGCTAAGTCTTTGTTCCATTTTCCTCCACTTAAACCATGCTGACTTAAGAGAGAAAAGCTTTCCTTCAAAGTAAGAAGGGGAAAAAAAAAGCCCTCAAAAGTCCTAATTAGGTTCCAGTTAATTAAGGTTTGAAAATAATGGATGTACATCCTTGGAGTTGATGCCTTGGTTCCCCAGAAAACAAGTTGTGTGGACCACAGCTTTAGAAGAAGCAGCACATCAGCCTCCCTCAGCAAGGGACACTGGCGAGGTCCTTCATAACTCAGTGAGACGGCCCTATTCAGGAGTCCCACATTTGTCCTCTGGTGCCCACTGCCTGCATTTGCCCTCGTGAAAACCCATTTTTCCTCAGTGCTTTTGGCATAGCCTGCTGTTTGGAGTTTCTCTCTGATGCTTTGTTCGTCTTGTTTTACCATGTCCACATTTTTGGTGGCAGTCCTAAAAAAATATGCCCTTTTACACTAGCCTCAATTAGAGAGACTCTGTGAGAGGGGCCACCGTCCGTGTCACACAGTATGCCCTTGAATGCATAATAAATCTGCTAAGGCAGCAGTTTTACCTTTCCAAGAAATCAGTTTGTCATATGACCTTCAGAATAAGTGAGGTGGAGGATTCTAGGATAGTGCCTGTTTGTTCGGTCAGGGACAGACTGGCGCGGAGGCTGTAGTAACCATAGCAGTGCAGGCCTACTTGACCACTGGGTGATTGCAGCCGGCAGTGTAGGCCGGAGCTGCCTCACCCATATCTCCGATAGTCTGGGCTGGCTCCAGCCCCCGGGGGGACCACCCGCTCAAATCTTGTCTGCTTACCCGAGTGTGCTATCAAATATGAGCAAGTTCGATATGTGCTATGACGCGGAACAGATTGGCAAGCACTGCCTTAGAGGTCAGATTACTTGCCTCAAATGTCCCTTTTACCTAGAGCTTGAACCTGGTTCTAGAGAGGTGATAGCTGCGTGAAGTGACATTCCTTTGTTTCACTGCCGAAAAAGCAAATGCAGATGCATTCTTTGTGCTTTTTGGAGGAGTTGAATAGTATCCCTTCCAGGTGGTTCCTTCCCATCCTCATATTTCCTGCTGTCAAGTTTGTTCTAGACTTTAACTCGGATTCTTGTTTTATTCTTGATCATGTATGTCCTCTGTTTCTTAAAAGGGGGCCCCAGTGTTTTTGTGTTTATCATAAAAGTAACCATTATGGTTGGTAATCATATGCACATCTTGAATTCTGAGGAAGCGGAACTGTGAGAAGCCCGCCCTCCTCGCTCTGGTGTTTGCTCCGTGACCCAGGCTGGTCCTACAGGCCGGGAGTTTGTGCAGAGCTCTGGCGCTTCTGTTGATGCAGACACAAAGCCTGCCCCCAGGCAGCCTCCCCTCCTGAGAGGCAGATGATTCTGCCCATGATGTGACAAGGCTTCAGGCTCCTGTTCGAGTCTGGGCCTTCGTGGTCACCTTAACGAAAGGATAGCAAAGGAGGGTAGCGGAGTGGTAAATAGAACCGTCGAACAAAAACACCTCCGGGAATATTGATTACTTTTAGGAAACTACAGCTTTCTGGGGCTTTCTCTCCAGCCCAACATCCCTCAGGCAGGACATAGTACTTCAGAGAGAGCCCACCCTGTACCAGCTTCTTTGAGAAGCCAGCATGATGGCCTGCAAGAAACTGGGCCACTTCTGGGGCCCCCAGCAGGTGCGCAGAGATGTGATCAGCTCCTAGTGAGCTGTTGACTTTCTGAGTTTAGAGAAAGTGGTGGTGCAGAAGAGTTTATATCTCCCTCTTAGGCGATGCCTCCAGACCAAAGGAGCCTTTACTAAATTCTCAGCTATATCTTCTATGACCCCCTCCTGGCATGATTTTAAGCCCAAACATCAGGCAGTTTCTCTGGACTTGATTATAAAGATAAACTTGTTAGTAAAATAGGTTTTGGATACCATGGGTCCCACGCTGCTGTGTATGCTATTCTGGATGCCCTTGGCCTAGCCCAGCCATTAAGTTGGGGGTCAGCAGACTTTCCATAAAGGGCCAAATAGTCACTACTTTAGGCTTTGTAGAGGAGCCACAGACGAAACACATGAGCGGGGCTGTGTGCCGATAAAACCTGAAGGACACTGGAATTTAAATGGCGTGGAATCTTCATGTCACAAAATAGCATTCTTCCTTTGATTATTTTCCAATCATTTAAATATGTAAAAACCCTCT